ATCCACCCGCCTCGGCCTCCCAGAGTGCTAGGATTACAGGCGTGAGCCACCGCGCCCGGCCAATAACTTTTTTTTTTTAGCCTGAGAAACCTTATGAACTAAATTACTATTTGATTATAGAGTATATCAAGAGTTTGTTTTAAAGAAACGATTTTTGCCGGGCATGGTGGCTCATACCTGTAATCCCAGCATTTTGGGAGGCGCAGATAGGAGAACTACTTGAACCCAGGAGTTCAAGACCAGATGAGGCAACATAGCGAGATGCCGTCTCCACAAAAAAAATTTAAAAATTAGCCAGGTGTAGTGGCATGCACCTGTAGTCCTAGCTACTTGGAAGGCTGAGGCAGAAGGATCACTTGAGCCTAGGAGTTGGAGGCTGCAGTGAGCTATGATCATGCCACTGCATTCCAGCCTGGGCAACAGAGCAGGACCCTGTCTCTTAAAAAAACAAAACAAAACACTATTTTCTCACACTCCTATAAATGATGGATAAAATATAATACTTTTAAATTGGATATCACTTACACACAATAAACTACCAAATCTTAAGTGTATTGCTTGATATTTTTATATATATATGTGTATATACATATATATATATATATATATAAATATTCCCATGAAACAACCAGATCAATATATAGCACCCCAGAAGGCTCACTCATGCCCCCACCCAGTCTTAAGGAATAACTGTGATTCTAACTTACGTTACCATAAATTAGTTTTCCTGTTTTTGAGTTTCATATAAATAGGATAACATAGTAAGCTTTTTTAATTTTAATTTTTTTTTTGTTTGAGACAGGGTCTTGCTCTGTCTCTCTGGTTAGAGTGCAGTGGCGTCATCGTAGCTCACTGCAACCTGAAACTCCTGGGCTTGAGCAGTTCTCCTGTCTCCCAAGTCCCAGCCTCCCAAGTAGCTGGGACTATAGGCATGTACCATCACACCTGGCAAATTTTTCTAGTTTTTGTAGAGACAGGGTCTCTCTTTTGCTCAGGCTGGTCTTAAACTCCTGGCCTTAAGTGATCTTCCTGCCTCAGCCTCCCAAAGTGCTAGGATTATAGGCGTGAGCTATTGTGCCCGGCCTGATAATACAATAAGTATTCTTTTGTGTCTGACTTCTTTCATTCAACATTATGCATGTGAGGTTATCCATGTTGCTCCACTTTACTGTAGTTTGCTTTTTTTCATTTATGTGTAGTATTCCATTGCATAAATACACCACTATTTCTTTATTCAATCTGCTATCATGGACATTTATGTTGGTTCCAGACCTTGGCTGTTAAGAATAGAGCTTCTGGCCGGGCGCGGTGGCTCACGCCTGTAATCCTAGCACTCTGGGAGGCCTAGGCGGGTGGATCACTCAAGGTCAGGAGT